AGCTACAAGAATATAATAAAACTCCAAATAAACATGCTTAGAACAAAACTAAGGTCTATCATGCCATCAAATAATAGATATAAACGTGGTCTTCTAAATGCCATAGGAACAGCCCATAAATGGCTTTTTGGAATTATGAACGATGACGACAGGCAAATTATTTTACAAAAATTAGACATTGCTAATAGTAACAATCATAGTATTGTACAAACAATCAATGAACAAGTCACTACTAATAATCATTTCAATGATAGCCAATGTTTAATAAAAGATAGTATTTTAGACGACAAAAAAATTAATAATGCAATAAACACTATTCAAACTCCAAACTCAGAGATAAGAAGCGAATTGTTACTTAATGAACAACTGATCAAATTAAAAGTTTTAGAAAACAAAGTCGACCAGATCATAGAAACATATATTCTGCCAAACACAATATCTTTCATCCCTCCATATTAACATCTGAAGAAATAGACAAATACAATATAGACTTTTATAAGTTAAGCCTGATAAAAATGGGTGTAATACTATACAACAATAACTGTCTAATATTTTCAATAAAAATACCCATAACCTATCCAAAACACATTGTGAAAATAATTATTCCTATACCTAACCATAAGTTCTACGAAATAGAAGAAAAACAAGAAATGTTTGTAAACATTAATAATATATCTTATACTTACGATGAAGATAAAAATCTAAAAGATCTAGTACTATCAAAGAATTGTATATTTAAAGGAAACTGTAAATTAATTTTTAACAATAACACCTCTTTCGAACTATTTGACGATGAAACTATTATTATTAAAAATGCTCGCAATACGAAAATTAACAACAGCTGTAACCAAAACACAAGTAATTTATTAAATGGAAATAACATTTAAATGTTCTCAAATTGTAAAATCACTATACAAAATGAAAAATGTTCAAATCAAAAAGAAAATTACTTCGAGACAACAAAACATTCACAAATAAAATAACTTTTAATGATATTATACTTAGCAATACTAAAAATATTGAAATGATTGAAGAATTAACACAACACCAACGCTATTCCCTAATCGTGGTCGTATTTGTAGTGACGGTAACCGGTATGATAGTAATAATTTATGTATTCAAAGGAAAATCCATAAATATAAAAGTTAAATAAAAAATTCAGGAGAATTCTTCCACAAGGGGGGAGGAGTTACGTATCCGTACCCCACCGATCTCTACGCCACTGCAAACATCGACCACATAATTGCAAAATATGTATCAAATATCAATAAGAACAACTCAGCGAAAACTAGCGTCAACAACTGAATGTGCTTCCGCTGGTTTTCGACTGACATACAAAACGTAAAATTTGCTGAGTGGACATTTCCACCAAGCAACCCAAAGCTTAATAATACAATAAATGATTAGTCTTAAGATTCACTCGAAACAATAAAGTTATTTTCAATTTGATAAACCAAATTATATTTGTGTTATCTTTCAAGTTTAACTCCTAAGAGTTAAACATACAATTCGCGCGCATTTTTTTAATACTTATTTTTGTAGAATTTTTTTTTCTTTACTTCAAATTTGATTCTCCTTCGTGAACATACCAGTTTTAAAGTTTGTTCTCTAATTAATAAAACTTATAAAAAAATAAATAAATACCTCGTTTTATCTTTGCAAGAATATTATAAGACGTTGTTTTTATAAAAATAAAAGATAAGTGAAAAAGCTGTAAGTTCGGCCGGGCCGAACTTTATATACCCTCCACCATTTCGAACGAATTTGGCAATTTTCCAAAGAATAAAATCAGTTAAAACCTCAAAATACTGAATGTAGGTATTAAATAAGGGTCTACACGACGACGTGGATCTGCACATCCGGTTAATAACGTCGCTAAAATCATCAAAATACCGAATATGGTTATATGGAAGCTATACCAGAACGTGGACCTGCACAGACAACTTTCTGTCATAGGCTAAAGTATCAATTTCGAACTTTAAATCCCAAATTTGAAACAATTCTGATGAATTTTGTCGCAAAATTATCAAAATACCGAATATCGGAGGTACCGTTATATGGGGGCTATATGAAGACGTGGACATGCACAGACAATTTTCTGTCATAAGCTGTAGCATCCATTACGAACTTCACGTACCAAGTTTGAAATATTCCTGGTGAAAAATGTCGCCTAAATAAAAAAAATACTAACATGAAAAGCGTACCATTATATGGGGGCTGCACCAAATCGTGGAACAACATGGCCTATTTTCAATACCAAAAGTCCTGCAGACATAGTATACATTAAAGTAACATTTTATCATCCTACTTCAGTGTGTTCAGAGCTAGAGTGTTTTTCACACCCGGATAGCATACGGACATCGCTAAATCGACATAGAATTTTGTTCTGACCAACAATATTTATACTTCATGGGGTCTAAAATGTATATTTCGAGGTGTTACAAACAGTATGACAAACTTAATGTACTCCTCCTTACAAAATACCGAATTTAGCCTTTATAGTTGGGTCTATACGACGTGGACCTGCACAGACAATTTTCTGTCATTGGCTATAGTATCCATTACGAACTTCAAATACGAAAGTGAAACAATTTATGTTTTTATGTTTTTCGGAAGCTAGTGTAATTTACACAGACGGATAGCTGTTGTTGTGGTAATTCAATTTCTAGTGATTCAGCTTTTTGTTGTTTCTTAATTTTTGAATAGATCATAATAATTCGATAGGTGGTTACAAATTTTAAATATAAAAATATTACAGAGAATACAAAAATTATGCTTGCAATTATAATATAAATTAATTTATTATTGCTTGATACAATTGTGACGATATCTTCATGTTTTATACTTTTTACTTTTGTTATTTTAAGAGGATTGTACAATTGGGTTAGGTCGATTTGAGGTGATAACTTATTTTTGTATAGATTGATATCATGTATTTGTAGTTCACAGTTCTTAATTCTAATAGTTTTGTTTCCTTGTATATTTAATTTTGTATTTAATTGACTATTTTGTTTTAAAGGTGTATCTTAGTTTCTAAGTTACAAGTATGTCAGGTTCAACATATTTTATAATTTCTGTTGTTACAATAGGCTTAAAATTACAAATTGGTGTTGTATGCAACAAAATTTTGGAAATACATTCATCATTAATTTCTAATTTTTTATCAGTATAAATTTTATTGTTCATTTCAAGATAAGATGAGGTGTTCGTGTGTTCTAATTGGTATCCATTCTGATCGGGATAATGGGATAATTTTAAAGTTGTTAAAAGTTTTAAAGTTAGTGGGAATATGTGAAATCATAAGTATAATGTTTTCTCGGTAATTGATCCATGTCGAGGTTTTTATTAGTAAAATATTTCTGTTATTTATATTTTCCAACTTGTCGTAATTTAACCATTTGGGATTAAACAGTCCTAGTCTGGACATTTGCATACACATTTCAATGTCTTCTTCATATTCTATAAACTGCATTAAATCAAATATGAATTTTGCGATTTATTTCTAATTTTTCGATGTTGTCATTAACTTGATTTATAACGTCATTAATTTCATGTAACTGTATTGAATTGTGCGCCATGCGAGTGTGCGAGTTTTTCTTGAAATTTAATTCAATCTTCTTCATCCAATGTTCCAAACAGAAACTTAAAGATTGATCCTGCAATACTAAAAAGTCCTCGTTTTTGTCTAATGTCCTTATGAAATGTTAAACAATGTGTTAATGCCAAAATCGTGGGAGAAAGGAAAATTAGGATATTTTCTTTTCTCCTTCTGGCATCTCAGGTTTTCCTGATTCTTTTTCAATTATTTTCCTCACACACTTTGACATTGCCGCTTACTTATTCTTATATGTATGCGTTCTGCTTTCATTTTCGAAACATGTCGTCTGTGCTTTCACGGACTTTTTCCTTTTTTCTCTTTTTACTTACTTTCAATTCAACAATTGTTACAAGCGGTAAGAATTCGTTTCAAAAAACCTAAAATTATCAAAATAAAGGATATTACTATATTGTTTAATTCAACACTCTAATCCTTTTGTGTTTTTATTCCCTTCTTTTCTTCCTATACAACCTGAAATCCATCTGGAAGAAATATTGTGTTTCCACCAATATTTCTTTGGTTCGGTTTCTAAGCGCCTTCATTTTCTACAGGAAAATTACCGACGAATCCCTGGTATTTTCATTTGGTGTTTCCACCAATATTTCTTTGGTTCGGTTTCTAAGCGCCTTCATTTTCTACAGGAAAATTACCAACGAATCCCTGGTATTTTCATTTGGTCCTCCACGAACCGGATTTTAGCTTAAACCGAAAGTTCTGTTCCAGTTTGGATTAAAAACTTCGTTATTCTTATTTTTCTTCAACATTAAGGTAAGTTTGTGCCTTCGTTCTTTTACTATAAAAGTGCAAATTTTTCTGAAAATAAAAAGTGCATTTGTCGTCGGCAAAACATCATTTCGTTCAATACGCGTTTTCGGTGGAAGAGTGTAAATCATTTTCGATTTTTAATATCTTAAGAGAACAGTGCAAACTCCGATTGGGCAGTGATTTATTGTTTCTCTCGCTTTACTTATCACATCTCATCCATATGTGTATAGGGTTCACCAATTCGAAAATTGACCTTTAGTACATCTTAGTATTTCACTAAACATAGAAGTCGCCAATTCGTTTTTTGGTATCCGTTGAACCGATTATTAACTGATTACCTTCATTCGAATATTTTTATTTTTTGCTTTCTGCATTGTATTTTACAATAGTTCTCAATAGTATTTTACGTGAATAATTATATTACATTGATAGTGTTTAAGTAAGAATGTTTATGAAATATAGTTTATTAAACAAAGGTCAGATTTGTGACCAAAATTATCCTTAAAATCTGCATACTCCTTAATGTTACATCCTTGTTACATTTGTGTTGCAGATTTTAACGATAGTTAATTCGTTAAGTTGTTTGACGTTTTCCCCACCTCTCATCATCACTGTTTTTTTTTTCCATTTTGGGATCTCGAAACGCAAACTACGCTTTTTTGTAAGCTGCGCATATTGTTGCAAAAACAGGTAAAATTGTTACCAAATTTATATATTTTATATTTAATAAACCAAACTATTTGACTCTTGGTCAAATATAATTCAAATTCTAAAATTAAAGTGTTTTATTTTGGTTTTCTTTTATTTACATTGGCGTAAACATTGGTCTCTTCGAGCCGCGTATTGAGTCGGTGTTGTTGGAGCCACTTCTAATTGGTTTGTTTGCTCTTTTTTAAACAGCAAAACAAAACATCCCCCCTACAGTCCTTTCATCATCAATCCACTTTCCTACTCATACATTTGATCTCATCAAAAACCAGGTACGTAAAGTGTTTCAAGTGAGAATAATTAAAAAGTAAAAAGAAAAGCGAGAGTGAAAATAACAATAGTGTCGTTGATTTTGTGTGGCCGTCTTACAACGCGTCGCGCACCCCCTCCCGTATCGATCGGTGCTTTACCCCCGACATACATTGTAATTACAAGTGAAAAAGAAAATAAATAAAAAAAATATAATAATAACCAAACATAACCAAAAGGGACTAACTTCCATTTATATTATTTGGAAAAAATCGCATTTAATCCCTTTAAAAGAGTGACAACAGTGCATAATTATAAATCAATTTTGCAATAAAAAATTAATTCATATATTTGTGCAAAAATATTTGGGTTTTTGCATTAAGTAATTGTGCCGAAATTGATTTAAAATACCCTCCTATTAATTTGCATAAAAATCCCTTTACGTTTGTTTGGTTATTAGCAAGTGACAACGGCATACATCTATTTATTTGTAACGACAACAATAAACCAACATACGTACATACACGTACGCTCATCTAGTTGAGACGATCAGCCGTTCTGTTGTGTGGTCGGTCTGTTGGTCGTTTGTGCGGTCGATCTGTCGCTTGCCTGCTTGGTGGTTGATGACCACTCACATATTGGTGTGTGTGTGTTATTTTCTTTTTCGCATGAGTTGTGATTACCCTGTGGGAAATTTTGTTAAATACACGTAACAAAAATAAAATAATTATATTGAAATATTTTATAGTAAATATTTTTGAACTTGATTCGGGGAAATTGTTTAAATATTTTTTGGAAATTAAAAATTCGTTTGCACGCTACAATCGGTCGATTCGACTTTTAATTAATGAAGTGATTTTTAGACCGTTTTGTAATAAAAAAAAAACAAATTTAATTGAAATTTTCGAAATTTTTAAAATTTGATTAATTGGCTATTGTGGAATTTCGTCCACAGTCACCCTACAATCGGTAGTAGCGACCACATAGAGATATTTTAGCAAAATTAAATTATAAAATTTCGATATTTTCGTTGGAAAATAATAATTTTAGTTAAAAATTTTAAATATTTTAACATTTCGTTAGAAATTTTTTAAGTTTTAATTTTAAAAGATATATTTGAACGTGAAAATATATATGTTTGAAGCTTAAATATATATTTTTATATTTTTGAAAATTTATATTCACACATATATATATATATATATATATATATATATATATATATATATATACATATATTTGATTTTTGAATCAACCGTTTTTATTTTTTGTTTTTTCTCGCTTTTTCTGTGGTTTTCGATTGTTTTTAAAATTTTTTTTGATAAACTTCGTTTAAGTTCTGCTGAATTTTTGAAAGCGTGTGTGTTTAGATACGTATTGAGATACTCTAAATCGCTTACTGTCGACTCTATACTGAGTTGTATTAAAGTTTGAGTATTTTTCTTTGAATTTTTGGTCCGTATTGTCGATTTTAATTCCGCTGAATTTTAATTCGAGTGATTGTAGCAAGCTTTTATAATTCAAAATGCCAATCACTCCATTAGATCTCTTCATTAGAGCTTCTGATGCTCTAGTTAAATTCGAGGCTCATTATAATGCGCTAAATTCTGAAGAGATTGATCGATACGACTTAGAGGTTCGTAGTGAGGAAATTCAGAAACTTTGGGCACAGGCACATGATATGTTTGGTAAGTGCTTAGATTATTTAATGTCTTCCGTTGACGCCAAGAAAGAAGATATTGATTCGGTGGATAGTAAGTATGAGGTTTCTTATCAGACTTACTTAAGATGTTTGTCCGCAATTAGACGAAAGCTAGGGCAGCTAAAAAGAAGTCGTGAAGCTTCTGTAAATTCAACTTTAGATGGTTCGGTTGTTTCTCTTGGGCAACAATCTGTTTCAACTCCACTAGAATCTAGAGTTAATATCAGTTCGTCTACCCAAGCTTCGCACGAAGTTGGAATTCAGGTGGATTCAGTGGCGCCCTCCGTTAAAAGTTTTGATTTTGGTCCCATACAAAGTGATAGCGTTTATAATCTTGCGCTTCCGCCATGTGATACGGATGTTTTTGAGGGTGATTTTCATTCTTGGCCAACATTTAGAGATTTATTTACGGCCGTTTATATTAATAATGCGAGATTGAGCGATATTGAGCGGTTATGTCATTTGGTTCGGAAGACTAGTGGAGAAGCTCGAGAGATCGTTTCTAAATTTCCATTAACTAATCGTAGTTTTGTTCTCGCATGGAAATCTTTGAAAGAAACCTACGACAATCCCCGTGTTATTGTACACAATCAATTGAAAATTCTTTTCTCTCTTCCGGTGATTGATATTGAAACCAGTTCAAATCTTAAATCCTTGCAGCGTGGCATAAATGGGTGTTTGTCGGCTATGTCCATTTATGACTAAAGACTTAGATGGGTTTTTGTCCGAACGCATTCGGACCTTAATGTGTCTGCACGACATGAGGAGTAATGATCCAACCAAGCGCACGACCAAAAAAGTACAGTCTCATTTTACCAATACAGATTCTTCTGCGCCTTCTCAACCCACGAGTGAATCAAATTCTAGAAAATCAGGATGTGTACTTTGTCCAAATAAAAACCATCGGTTGTTCGAATGTTCTCGATTTAGAAGTCTGTCAGCTTCTGATCGGTATAAGTTAGTAAAACGTCATTATTTGTGTGTGAATTGCCTTCGAAAAGGACACGAAGTAAAAAAGTGTGATAGTAATCGTCATTGTTCGAAATGTAATCAACCTCATCATACTTTATTACATCGTATTGATGCCAATTCTAATAATTCCGCTCCCGTGAACTCAATTGCATCAAATAGTTCGTCCGTCCATCCTCCTTTGCCAATAGAACAAAGTCTACCATCTACATCAGCTGGGTGTGTACCTCGTCAGGCTTTTCACTTAGCTCAAAACAAATCGGTGTTGTTAGGAACAGCAATGGTTACAATTGTCCTCCATGGCTTTTCTTATTCTGCAAGGGCGCTTATAGATCCAGCATCTGAGTCCTCTTTCTTATCTGAGCGGCTTCAGAAGCGTTTGAAACTCCCCGTGCATTCCACTAATGCTTCTATTTCCGGTGTTAATGGCACTGTTTCGGCCACTTCTCACAAATTATGTACGTTAAAAATAGGAAGTCCGATTAATAGTCGTGTTATTTTGGAAACTACGGCATTGGTTTTACCATCCATTTCGGGAAATATACCCTCATTTAATGTAAGTTCAGATTTAAGAGCTCAAATACCTGATCTGCAATTGGCAGATTTTAATTTATTTGATTCTAGACCCGTAGATCTTCTGTTAGGTGCCGATCTATATTCGAATATTTTGTTAGATGGTTGTCGGCCTATCCTTGATGGTAGATTGTTGGCTCAATATTCGATATTTGGTTGGTTAGTTACTGGGCCCGTTCCAACGACCGAAGTTCGAACATTTGCGACTACAATCGACGTGGTAGAAGAAGACAGTCTTAATAAAACTCTTTTACGGTTTTGGGAGCTAGAGGAACCTCCTAAACGAAAAATGATGTCTCCTTCTGATAGGTTTTGCGAAGACAACTATTTAAAAACCACACGTAGAATGTCGGACGGGAGATATATAGTGACACTTCCAATCAAACCAGACATAGATTGTAATGAGTACTTAGGTAACTCGCGCGAAATAGTTTTGAAGCAATATCTTCGTAGTGAGTCGTCTTTATTGAGAAAATCGGACGTTAAGGTTGTTTATGACAAAGTCTTGAAAGAATATTTAGATCTTGGCCACATGAGGTTAGTATCACCTAATTTGCTAAATGATACTTTATACTGTTATTTGTCTCACCACCCTGTCATAAATCCGGACAAACAGACGACTAAACTTCGGGTTGTTTTTAATGCGTCTTTCAAAACTTCTAGCGGAAAAAGTCTAAACGACTTGCTCTATGTGGGCCCCACCTTGCAACTTGATTTAGTCTTGCTGATTCTGCGGTGGCGTATTTTTAAATTCGTTTTTAACTCGGATATTACTCAGATGTATAGACAGATTCGCGTCGATCCAAAACATACTCCCCTTCAGAGAATTCTTTTCCGTGATTCCCCCTCGAAACCGGTACAAGACTATGAATTACAAACGGTGACTTTCGGTGTAAATTGTGCACCATATTTGGCTATTCGAACGCTATTGCAACTTGCGAAAGACACTGAGACCGAGTTTCCCATCGCCGCACACATTTTGCGCAAATGTATGTATGTAGATGACGTGCTAGCAGGATCACATGACTTGGAGACGGCTGTTACTGCTAGGGATCAGTTAATATCAGCGTTGTCTACGGCAAAGTTCGAACTTCGGAAGTGGACATCGAATAACAGATCGATTTTAGAAGGTATACCTTCTGATCAACTGCTAGATCATAAAATATTGTCCTTTGTAGAATCTAGTAGCTCTAAGCCATTAGGAATAAGGTGGAATGCACATTTGGACACATTTTACTTTGAGGTTGCCCCTATTGCGAAGAAGGCTACCTACACCAAACGGGAAGTTCTTTCCGCCATTGCAAAATTATTTGATCCTGTGGGCTGGTTAGGACCTGTACTCGTCGTTGCTAAAATGGTCATGCAAAAGGTGTGGTTGGATAACATTGGTTGGGATGACACCCTTTTACCAGCCACCTATGCCGATTGGCGGCAGTTTGTGAATTCCTACACAGATGTTAATTCGGTTAAGGTTCCAAGATGGGTTCAGTATACTCCCAATTGTTCAGCTGAACTCCATGTTTTTTCAGATGCCTCGGAAAAAGCATACGCGGGGGTAATTTATATTCGTATTGAGTCTGCTAGTGGAAGTATTTTTGTCCATTTACTCTCGTGTAAAACTAGGGTGGCCCCCATAAAATCAATTTCTCTACCTCGTTTGGAACTATGCGGGGCGGTTTTGGCTTCCGAGCTTTTAAAAACTATAGTTAGTGAAATTGATATAGAGTTTCGTCAAGTTTATTGTTGGACGGACTCAACTATAGTTCTTTCTTGGCTACGAAAAACCCCTTCGACTTGGACTACGTTTGTGGCTAATCGCGTCTGTCGAATCCAAGAAAACGTTGGTAATCACAATTGGTACCACGTGAAATCTGAGGATAATCCTGCAGATTTGGGAAGTCGTGGCTCTTCTCCTTTAGATCTCGCCAATTCCTCTCTATGGTGGCATGGACCAAGTTGGTTAAGGGATCACAAATCTAAGTGGTTAATTCGTGATCTATCGGTTCTGGAAACGGATACTGAGAGGCGTTCTGTAAAAAGTCATGCCTCATTTCTTGCGAGCTCTGAAGACTTGCTGGTTAGGTTCTCTTGTTTGGGCAGAGCTCTTCGGGTCATCTCCTATATCTTTCGATTCTTTCATCGCACTCATCCAAGACATAAAAACAATTTTGTTTACACTGGCGATATAGCATCCCCAACTGAAATCGACTTCGTCCGTAGTAGATTGATAATTTTGGCTCAACAGATGTATTATGCGGACGAATATAGGGATTTATCACAAAGTCGTCCTCTTGATAGAAAGAGTTCTTTGGCTCCGTTAAACCCCTTTTTGGATGAGAGTGGCATAATTCGTATGAATGGAAGATTAGTTAACTCTCCTACCCTTGCGTACACGGAAAGACATCCTACCATATTGCCCTATCATTGTAGGTTCGTGAAACTTTTGGTGGAATTTGTCCACAAGATTTCTGTTCACGGTGGAAACCAGTTGATGTTGAGGATACTTAGAATTGAATATTGGGTTCCTCGACTAAAAAGTCTAATTCGTTTGGTTATTAATCGGTGCCGAACTTGCATTTTACAGAAAAAGCGTTCGATAAATCAGGTAATGGCTGCGCTTCCACCCGAAAGGACTGTTATTGACAGGCCTTTTTCTACAACTGGTGTAGATTTCGCTGGGCCATTTGAGGTCAAAGCATTTACGGGTCGAGCCTGCAAAATTACAAAAGGCTACGTTTGTGTTTTTGTATGTTTTTCGACGAAAGCAATACATCTGGAGGCAGTGTCAGATCTCTCGACTGCAAATTTTTTGGCAGCATTTCATAGGTTTGTTGCTCGACGTGGTTGTCCTCGGTCCGTATTCTCGGACAACGGTACAAATTTTGTTGGGGCTTCCAGAGAATTAGAGCGGAATTTTAGCTCATTTCTCCGAGATTGCTCATTAACCATTTCTTCCAATTATGCAATTCATGGCCTATCGTGGCAATTTATTCCAGCTGGGGCCCCACATATGGGTGGGCTTTGGGAAGCTGGAGTAAAAAGTTTTAAGTTGCACTTTCGAAAGCAGGTCCGTAATCTTCGGTATACTTTTGAAGAGTTGGCTACAGTTTTGGCCAGAATTGAGGCTTGTTTGAACTCTCGACCGCTTTGTCCCATGTCAGATAGTTCAACTGACATCGTTGCTTTGACACCTGGACATTTCTTAATCGGTGCTCCATTACTTGCTCCCCCAGAGCCATCGATAGCTGAACAACCTTTATCTATAGTAAACAGGTTTCGAAAAGTTCAGGCTTTAGTTCATCAATTTTGTTTAAGATGGAAAGAGGAGTATCTTAAAAGTTTGCACATGCGATATAAATGGAAATTTCCGCAACGTGATATTCAAAAAGATGATATCGTCGTGATTAGACACGAAACGCTTCCTCCCACATCGTGGAAATTAGGGAGAATTGAAAACGTATATATATATAGAGAATAGCGTTGTAAGACGGCCTATTACTAAATTGGTCGTGTTGACCGAATAACTTTCGATATTGTTAACCTCGTTTTTCTCCTCAGTATCATGGAAAAATTATCTTTCTTTGCTGATGATGGACTTAAGGACTACGACGAGCTGCTAGAGGTGATTGATAGAGCGACCGCTTCGCCTGCTCCCAGTTCTGCCGCCACCATCAAATTGCCGCCTATTGTACATGAGGCTATGGACCTGGTGGAAAATGAGGCGGTTCCCAATCCTCCGGCACTGGCACCCCCGACCGACAAACCGATGGAGTCTTCTACCCTGACTTTGTCAAGACCGGCTGTTTCGGAGTCGACAACATTTGGTTGCAATTTGTGCAACGGGACACATCCCCTTCGCTTTTGCGAAAAGTTTTTGGGCATGCCGATTGAAAAGCGGCACAGGGCAGTAGTAATGTACCACTACTGCATACGATGTCTGGCACGGTCCCACCTGGCAAAAGACTGTCCCAGTCGAAAAAGCTGTCGTCTTTGCAACGACAAACATCATACGCTGTTACATGATGGTCCGCTAAGCCTTCCGCATAGGCCAAATTCCCGTCCTGCTCGTAAGCATCGTCCGTATCAGAAGCCCAGGGTCCGTCCGAATAATCGTTCCGATACCCGTCCGTCTGCTGATACAGGTCCGTCCAACTACTCCAATTCCACTCCCTTAGGGGGGCTGCCACTTGTTGGTGTGGTCTCGCTCTCCCCAAGCCTTGTAGTACACTTAGCAGGTCCTAAGTCGTCTATTCCCACCGTGGACTGATAGATCAGTGTGGCAGACAAAGTCAAATATGCACATCATTGGTACACAGTCTTCGGCTGCCCTGCTTTACCGTTGACAGTATACGCTATTGCCGTTTCACTGTTCGTTCGACTCACGATTCAGCACAGTCAGTGGTAGTGATGGCGCGAGTCTGCGATTTGTCACATGTCTCGACTCCTCCAGAAACGGTGCCGGAGAGGATTAAAGAGTCGTACCTTGGTCTACCACTTGCGGATCCGCAATTTTTCAAAGTGGGACGGGTGGCGCTGATATTGGGTCCGGAATTGTATTCCAAAATAATGACCAGTCGGGTTCATTTGTTTGTCGGATTGCCAATGGCCCAGTATTCGATGTTTGGCTGGGTTCTCTCCGGGGTGTGCAGCAACTAACCAGGATCCTTATGATCCTTCGCGGGGTCCCTAATGGCCCGAGGTCCCGAGCTGCCTCAAATGTTTCTAGGGTCCCTAATGGCCCGGGGTTGCTAGTGACTCCGAATGTTTGAAGGGTCCCTAATGGCCCGGGGTCTCTTTTGGCCCCGAATGTTTTACGGGTCCCTAATGGCCCGGGGTCTCTTATGATCCCGAATGTTTTATAGGTCCCTAATGGCCTGGAGTCCCTAGCAACCCCAAATGTCCTGTTTAAATAAAAAAAATAAAATATATATGTATACACATTGTAAATTTACATATTAATATAATGAATTTAAAATTGTTAAAATGAATTTATTATGATTTTCTGTTTCAACATCCTGACGATGTTGAAAGGTGGGCGCCAAATGTTTAAGTAAGAATGTTTATGAAATATAGTTTATTAAACAAAGGTCAGATTTGTGACCAAAATTATCCTTAAAATCTGCATACTCCTTAATGTTACATCCTTGTTACATTTGTGTTGCAGATTTTAACGATAGTTAATTCGTTAAGTTGTTTGACGTTTTCCCCACCTCTCATCATCACTGTTTTTTTTTTTCCGTTTTGGGATCTCGAAACGCAAACTACGCTTTTTTGTAAGCTGCGCATATTGTTGCAAAAACAGGTAAAATTGTTACCAAATTTATATATTTTATATTTAATAAACCAAACTATTTGACTCTTGGTCAAATATAATTCAAATTCTAAAATTAAAGTGTTTTATTTTGGTTTTCTTTTATTTACATTGGCGTAAACAGATAGTGTAATATTGTTTCTTCAAAATAATTATTTATTTTTCTAAACGATTTATTCATTTCGTCCGACATAATACGTTCTCTATAAACACTTTTATTGAAAAAAGAAATATCTGATAAATAATATTATAAAAATTGAATAATAATCGTTTTTTATACCCTCCACCAAAAAAGGTATGGAGGGTATATTAAGTTCGTCATTCCGTTTGTAACTCATCGAAATAATCATTTTAGACCCAACAAAGTATATATATTCTTGATCAGCGTAAAATTCTAAGACGATTAAGCCCTGTCCGTCCGTCTGTCCGTCTGTTGTAATCACGCTACAGTCTAAACGAATTAAGATAGGAAGCTAAAATTTTGCACAGATCTCTCTTTTGTCTGCAGGCAGGTCAAGTTCGAAGATGGGCTATATCGGTCCACGATATCGTGTAGCCCCCATGTAACGGTACCCCCCGATATTCGGTATTTAAATGATTTTACCCACATTTTTCAACGGAATTGTCTGAAAATCCACACAAGGAGTTCCTTGTGGGTACTTTATACCTCGGCAGAGAATAATTATATAGGTCCACAATATCGTATAGCCGCCATATAACGGTACCCCCCGATATTCGGTATTTTGATGACTTTACCCATATTTTTCAACGGAATTGTCTGAAAATCCACACAAGGAGATCCTTGCGGGTAATTTATACCTCGGCAGAGAATTATCTATATAGGTCCACAATATCGTATAGCCCCCATATAACGGTACCCCCCGATATTCGGTATTTCGATGATTTTACCCACATTTTTCAACGGAATTATCTGAAAATCCACACAAGGAGTTCCTTGTGGGTACTTTATACCTCGGCAGAGTATTATCTATAAAGATCCACAATATCGTATAGCCCCCATACAACGGTGCCCCCGATATTTGGTATTTTGATGATTTTAGCCATATTTTTCAACGAAATGGTCACAAGGGGTTCATTGTGAGCACTTTACCCACCGACAGAGAATTCTCTATATAGGTTAACGATAACGTATAGCCCCCATATAACGGTACCCCCCGATAGTCGGGATTTTGATGATTTTACCCACATTTTTCAACGGAATTGTCTGAAAATCCACAAAAGGAGTCCCTTGTGGGCATTTTACCTCCTCAAAATGAAGTGTCTATATAGGTCCACGATATCGTATATCCCCCATATAACTGTAACCTCCGATATTCGGTATTTTGATGATGTTAGCCACGCTTTTCAATGGAATTGTCTTAAAATCAACACAAGTAGTTCCTTGTGAGTACTTCACCCCCTGAGAGAGAATTGTCCTATACAGGTCCACGATATCGTATATCCCCCATATAACGTTACCTCCCGATATTCGGTATTTTATGATTTGACCCACATTTTTCATCGGAATTGTCTGAAAATCCACACAAGGAGTTCGTTGTGGGTACTTTATACCTCGGCAGAGAATTATTTATAGATCCACGATATTGTATAGCCCTCATATAACGGTACACCCGATACTCGGTATTTTGATGTTTTTAGCCATATTTTTCAACGAAATGGTCACAAGGGGTTCATTGTGAGCACTTTACCCACCGACAGAGAATTCTCTATATAGGTTAACGATAACGTATAGCTCCCATATAACGGTACCCCGCGATATTCGGTATTTTGATGATTTAAGCCACATTTTCCAATTGTATTGTCTGAAAATCCACACACGGAGTTCCTTGTGAGTACTTTACACGCAGGCATAGATTTGTCTTTAAAGGTCCACAATATCGTATATCCCCCCATATATCGGCACCTTCCTATATTAGATATTTTAAAGATTTTAAAAGAATTTTTATTGGATTTTATTTTTTTGAAAATTTTCTAATTCGTTCCAAATGGTGGAGGGTATTCAAAGTTCGGCCCGGCCGAACTTACTGCTTTTTTACTTGTTTTAATTAGAACGAGGAAAAAAATTGCGTATTTTTCTTGCCACCTTCTATCTTGTTTGAACCTTTTTCGAGCTTTTGGTTTGAAATTCAGTTTTTTTGTGAAATTTATCACAGTTAATTTTTTCTTGCACTAAATTTGATATTCCCAGAAAGCTTTCTGTTTTGCGATTTGAATTTTTTTTATTCGATTCTTCATTTCAGTTATTCTCCTCGTATATCTAATTCGATGTTACTTATACCAAAATGTCTCTCGACTCTTTCATTCGTCTTGCCGACACGATCGTGGGATTTGATTCGGATATTAGTGATAATCTCCTTCCAGTCAGCTCCATTCACTCTATCAATGTTCACATTGAAGAAATTAAGTCCATATGGGTAAGAATCAAGTCCGAGTATGATACATACATCCGAGATCGTGAATCCGAGGGCAATGGAGACGAAGAGTCGGATGATGAAGACACAGCTTCTGAACTACAGACAATTCGAGCTAAGTATAAGACAACGTACCTTACTTACTGTAAGTGTATATCCCAGCTGTCTCAGTTATCCGAGGAACTACAATCGGCTTCAATTCCAAAAGAGTCTCCCGTGGCTCCCAGCCCAGTTCCTCCATCCAATCCTGAACAGGCGAACTCAGGATATTCCTTCAATTTACCGTGATGTGATACAGAGGTCTTCTCCGGGGATTATATGTCATGGCCCACATTCCGAGACATGTTCACGGCTGTGTACATAAAAAATCCTCGCCTCAGTCCAGTTGAGAAATTATTTCATTTAGTTCACAAGACCAAAGGCGAAGCAAAAGAGATAGTTCAGAAGAGTCCTCTTGCTAATAGTGGTTTCAGCCAAGCCTGGTCCAGCCTGTGCGATCGCTACGAAAATAAGCGAATTCTCGTAAATGGCCAGCTTAAAGTTTTATTCAACCTTCCTTCAGTTCCTTCTGAATCTGCTCAGAGTTCAAAACGCCTCCAAAGAGACATTAATTCATGCATCTCTGTTCTCAAGACCTACGATATGGACGTGGCTAGCTGGGATCCCATTTTTATCTCTCTCTGTTCTAATCGTCTACCTGATTCCACACTTACTCTTTGGGAGCATACCCTCTCGGACAAGTCCAGTATTCCACGGTGAGCAGAATTGGACACATTCCTAACAAATAGATATCGCACTCTAGAGTCTGTTTCAGAGATGCGAAAAGGTGTTTCAGGTTCAAGTCAAAAGGAAAGTTCGGTCGATATAAAGTCCAAAGTTGCCAAAAAGTTTAGTTCGTTCCTCACATAATTCGCAAATGTCCGAAGTTTTTAAAAATGAATTATGAAGCGCGCATTTCTGAGATCAGACGGCAAGGACTGTGTCTCAACTGCTTTTCAAAAACGCATTCCGTGAAAAATTGTCCTAGCAAATATAGTTGCTATACATGCAATAAGCGGCATAATACTCTTCTGCATAGAAACTCTGTTCATTCTTCTTCCTCCTCAGCACCATCTACATCTAGCACTGCTCCAAATTCAAACCTCAATCCCAGCTCCGCTCCATTTTCATATTCTGGATTACAGTCCACTAGCAGCGGAGTGGGGACTGTACAAAATTATTTTTCTGCTAGTGTTCAGGGGGTATTGCTAGGCACGGCGATGGTACAAATTGTTCATAATGGTGTGACATATTCGGCTCTCGCGCTCTTCGATTCTGGTTCCGAGGGAACTTTTATTTCAGAATCATTGTTTAATAAACTTAAATTGCCTCATAAGCGCACGAGAGCTCAAATTTCAGGTTTGAATGATTCTAATTCTGCCAGCGTACGTAAACAGTGCTCTTTCATTCTTTCTTCGCAATTTGACCACAACTTTGAATTAACGATTACTGCCTTCGTAATTCCTAAACTTTCGGGGAATCTGCCAAGTCATTCTATTCCGACTGCTTCGTTCAAAGATCTCCCAAATATTTCGTTGGCTGACCCTAACTTCTACAAGAGATCACAAGTTGACCTACCCTAATGCTTTCCAATTCAAGAATAGGTATATGCGGCTCTCTTCTGGTCCAAGAGACAGTCTTCGGATGGATCTTGACGGGCCCCATAGGTAAGAATTCGTCCAGGGTCGTCAACATAATCTCTAATTTTTGCGAAATCTCTTTGCATAAAGAGATTTCACGCTTTTGGAGGTGGAGAATCTTCCAAGGAAGAACTTCTTGTCCCCACCCGATAAATTTTACGAAGAACTATAATGACGGTAAATACATGGTTCGTTTGCCTTTTAAAGAGACTAATTTTAATGGCGAAGGTTTAGGACATTCAAGATCCAGTGTTGTGGCCCAGTTCTATAGGAACGAAGCTCGACTCATGTGTACTCCCGATTTAAAGAAGGAATATGATCGAGTCGTTCGGGAATACTGTGATCTAGGCCATATGCGCTGTATTCCCCATTCCAACGTTTCATCCGGTCCTAGTTATTATTTACCTCACCATGCCGTCATCAAACCTGAGAGCGTATCTACAAAGGTTCGGGTAGTATTTAATGCCTCCTCTCCTACTTCCACCGGGTTAAGTCTCAATGATATTCTTCATACGGGCCCAATTCTAACCTTGTTAATTTTAAGGTGGAGATTCTTTAGCTTCGTTTTCAATGCCGACATTGAGAAAATGTATAGGCAAATATTAATTCAACCAGATCATGCTAAATTCCAGATGATCTTATATCGTTCAAGTCCAGATGAGGAAATTCAAGACTTTCAATTATAGATAGTGACATTTGGGGTCAATTCCGCACCTTATCTGGCGATTCGAGTACTTTATCAGCTAGCTGAGGATGTTCGTTCAGAACTTCCTAGAGCTAGCGACATTCTTCGCAATTTTATGTACGTTGACGATGTACTCGGTGGGGCTCATTCTATTCCTTTAGCACTTCGTTCTATTCAGGAGTTGCAATCAGCTGGATTTTCTTTACGAAAGTGCACATCCAATTTGAAAACAACTTTGGCCGATATTCCGCCTGAGCATCTCCTTCGACAGGACTTTCTTGACTTCGAAGAAAGTAGTACGGCCAAAATGTTAGGCATACGATGGGATACTCATTCAGATTCTTTCTTTTTTACTGACAAACCATTTTCTAATCCGTCCACATATACCAAACGTGTACTTCTGTCGCATATAGCGAAATTGTTCGATCCAGCCGGTTGGTTATCTCCATGTGTGGTTTTGGCAAAAATTATGATGCAGAAGATTTGGGCCTCTGGTATCGGATGGGATAATTTATTGCCTCGTGATATCGTTTCCGATTGGTTGCAATTCCAAAATGATTTTCCGTCCATTGATAAAATTCGAATTCCGCGCTGGATAGATTTCTCAAGCGATATTCAATTTCATGGCTTCTGTGACGCGTCAGAGAGCGCGTATGCAGCGGCCTTGTACATTCGTATATCCTCTGGCGCATCTGTTTCCAAGCACCTTCTATATTCCAAGACGAAAGTAGCTCCATTAAAAACTCTGTCCATTCCGAGACTTGAGTTATGTGGTGCTGTACTTCTAGCTGAAATGATCGATATTCTTCTTCCGTCATTGGATGTCCCATCCTATTCCATATTCTGCTGGACGGACTCCACAATTGTTCTTTCGTGGTTGGCTAAAGCACCTTGCTTCTGGAAAACTTTAGTGGCGAATAGAGCTTCCAACATTACTCAAATTGTTGATTCATCCAAATGGCATCATGTTTCTTCTGAGACAAATCCAGCAGACCTGGCAAGCAGAGGCGTTTTCCCGTCAGACCTTGTCGGTAATGACTTATGGTGGCAGGGACCGCATTGACTGCGCGAAAAATCTAGCATGTGGGGTGCAACCGCTGTTTCAATTCCGGACACAAATCTCGAAAAGAGGTCCATTCACGTCAACTTTGCTTATTTTTCTGATTTCCAAGACGTCTTAGATGTGTTTTCATGCTTCAGTAAAGCTCTTCGTGCCCTCGCCCTGGTCTATAGATTCATCTCTCGCACGCATCATGGATTTCATACTAATTCTGTTCGCGTATCGGGCCCCTTGACTAGCGATGAGCTGAATCTAGCTAGAAATCGGTGGATTCAGTTGTGCCAAAAGGCATTCTATCCAAATGAATACCACGCAATATTTGCCAAACTTCCAATTCTTGCTTCCAGTTGTATCCGTAATTTAAATCCTTTCCAAGATGCTGATAGAATAATTCGTTCATGTGGCCGCCTTTCATCCTCTCCGGGCCTATCTTATAACGAGAAACATCCCATCATTCTTCCGTACAATTGCCATTTCTCAAAGTTGCTGGTTTCTTTCGTTCATTCGGTTACTCTCCATGGTGGTAACCAGCTAGTTCTGAGAGTAATTCGCTCTCAATATTGGATTCTCAAGGTGAAAAACCTCATCAAGACCACAATTAACAAGTGTAAAGTTTGCATCCTTTACAAAAAACGTTTTCAGAAGCAACTAATGGTTGCCCTTCCTCCAGAAAGGACCGAGCTTTCTCGCCCATTCGCACGAACTGGTCTAGATTTTGCTGGACCATTCGATTTAAAAACATACAACGGTCGGTCTTGTATCACTAAAGGATACGTATGCGTTTTCGTGTGTTTCGCAACGAAGGCTATCCATTTAGAACTCACTTCGGATCTTTCCACATCCACGTTTCTTTCAGCGTTTCATCGCTTTGTTTCACGCAGAGGTTGTCCGTTGCATTTGTATTCCGACAATGGGTCAACATTCGTAGGGGCTTCGAAGATCTTAGCCCGAAACTTCTTGCAAGCCTCTCGTGACGGAGTCACAGCCTATTATGCTCTACAAGGACTAACTTGGCATTTTATACCTCCGGGTGCTCCCCATATGGGTGGATTGTGGGAAGCCGGAGTTAAGAGCTTCAAGGCTCACTTCCGTAAGTTCGCAGGTTCAATGAAGTTTACATTCGAAGAATTTTCCACTTTGTTGTCCCGCATAGAAGCTTGGCTTAATTCCAGGCCATTGTCACCAATTTCGCAGGATCCTTTTGACTTTGCTGCCTTAACTCCCGGGCATTTCTTTATTGGGACTCCTATTCTGGTTCCCGTCGATCCTCAAATTGATACTTCTTCCACTTCCATTCTCAATCGTTGGGAAAAACTGAAGGCAATTCACCAAACGTTCTGTTCACGATGGAAAAACGAATACTTGCGTGAGCTTCAGAAACGCAATAAATGGCAAACTTCTGAACCTAACGTCACCGTCGATTCGTTAGTAGCCGTCATCGATGACAATCTTCCACCGAACGCGTGGCGTCTAGGGCGCATTTCGAAAGTATATCTGGGTTCAGACGAACGTGTACGAGTCGCGGATATAGTTACCCAACAGGGAACTATCACCCGACCAGTCACGAAACTCGTCGTATTATCCTCCCAAAACTAATACTTTCTTCCATCCAATCTGTTCCTGATGTCTAATCTGTAACAATCCGTTATATTCGTCACTTCTACGCCAAGTAGAACAATATGTCTAACCGATCGCCATCCCGTGCTCGTTCAATCATCCGTTCCAGCGTGGAGAAACACCGTCTGGCATATTCTTGCCATATTTGTCACACCCGACATCCATTGCGCCTATGCCGGAAATTTATGGGGATGAGTACATCTGGTCGTCTCAGTGTCGTGGAGAAATACAAATATTGCAAAAATTGTCTCGTACACGAGCATTCCCACGGCAGCTGCTTTTCATCGCAGGGTTGCAAGAAGTGCCACAAGCGGCACCACACCTTACTTCACCCATCGACTGAACGCACTCAACATCAACGACGTCCTCAACCCGAAGGTCATGCCCAGCCCACAGATCGCGCGCATCCCGAAGCTACACCTTCAGCTACCAACGACATTAGTGCCAAAACACTATCATCGCTGATACGCCAAAATACCATTGTTTTGGTCCCGACAGTGGTCGTTCGGATTTCAGATGGGAAAGTGAAGTTGACAGCACGATGCCTACTGGATTCAGGTTCAACTGTCAGCAGAGTATTAAAAAGGTTGACCGACTCCAAGAATTTGACGACGCTCACCTTGGACAAGGAATCGTTGTGCCCTCTAACCCTGACATCCCGGTTTGATTCTGCACGGTAAGTCGAAGCGATGATGAAGGTAGATAGTCGGGTAAACATTAAAACTCCTTCCAAAGACTTGCCTGCAGACTTCAAGGACAATTATGTCAACTTATGCCTGGCCGACTCAAAATTCTATGAGCGTTCTACCATCGACATAATTATTGGAGCTGACTTGTACACTAAAATAGTCTTAGAAGGTACCATTTCAAGACCAGGACTGCCATCAACACCATATTTGGCTGGGCCATTTATGGACCTTATTCGTCCTAGTTTCTATCCTGAAACATACTATATATCTTCTAAATTTGCACTATTTTGTATTTATTTTTATTCTTGTGAACGAAACACAAACTTTCCTTTTCAGCTACATATATTCTTTCCTTCAACATTTTTTTTCTGATAACGTAAATTCCATTCAGATTACGTTGTAATCCGGAAAAGTACACACGACATGACCTTGTTTTTATTTCTTTCATTGCAGTGTAACTGCAAGGTGGGCGGCGATGTTAATGCCAAAATCGTGGGAGAAAGGAAAATTAGGATATTTTCTTTTCTCCTTCTGGCATCTCAGGTTTTCCTGATTCTTTTTCAATTATTTTCCGCACACACACTTTGATATTGCCACTTACTTATTCTTATATGTATGCGTTCTGCTTTCATTTTCGAAACATGTCGTCTGTGCTTTCACGGACTTTTTCCTTTTTTCACTTTTTACGTACTTTCAATTCAACAATTGTTACAAGCGGTAAGAGTTCGTTTCAAAAAACCTAAAATTATCAAAATAAAGGATATTTCTATATTGTTTAATTGAACACTCTAATCCTTTTGTGTTTTTATTCCATTCTTTTTTTTCCTATACATCCTGAAATCCATCTGGGAGAAATATTGTGTTTCCACCAATATTTCTTTGGTTCGGTTTCTAAGCGCCTTCATTTTCTACAGGAAAATTACCGACGAATCCCTGGTATTTTCACAATGTAATTGACGTTGCAATTTATTGCACAAATAATTAAGATGGGGAGATTTGGTGTAGTTCGATAAATGCTTGTTAAATATGTTGTTTGTTCTTTCTATTTCTGTAATGTTAATTTGTAAGCAATGATGCTCGAATTCAGTGGGTAATTCCAATGCTTTATCAGAGAATATCAGATATCCGTGGTTGGTGTGAATATTACTTATTTCGATCTGTTGAGCATGACATATTATAACAATGGAAAGTAATGCCGTTATTATGTACCATGGTCCTGTGAATATGGAATTTGATTAATTTTCTTTCGTTTTTTAAATTGTGATTTATAATAATGAGTGACTACATTTCGGTTAGTAATTTTGTAAAGGTCTGGTTGTGTCTGTTCAACGTTACTGTTGGGTTTAAATGGGTTCTCTAGTTTACCTTTCTGTCTTGTCTATATTTATTTTGTTTATTTTCTTTTCTTTTTCTTCTTGAACATTTTTTGTCGGATGTCCATTAAAAAGAAAAGTGTTTGCTGGTGTTTATCCTTATGGTCTTATGGTTGTAAATGTTAAGTATTGTCTCAATTTTGCTTAGTTTTACTTCGTTATCTTTAGATGTGTTTATTATTTGCATTTTTTTTTTTCATTTAAAGTTTTATGGAATCTTTCTATGTCTGCTACGCCTGTTTTCGAAGTATTAAGTTACAATTCTACTCCTTCACTCTCTAGCCATCGTTTCAAGGCTAAGCTAGAAAAAGCTCCATCTATGTCGGCTTTTAATAACTGAGGTTTACCTAACTGATTGAAAATTCGCATAAGGGCATTTTTGCACTCAACCCAATCTTTTGTAGGTATTTTCTCCAGTGTTGCAAACTTTGAATATACATCAATACAACTAACATAGTGTTTTGCTTCAGACGAATAGATGTCTACCATGAACTTTTCACGACAAAAATTAGATTGGGGTGTGATTTTCAGTGGCATTTTGGTATTACGATGTTCTATTTTACTTAGATTGTAAGTATGACATTCAATAATAATATTTTGTGTTAGTAATTGACTATTGGAGAAGTGATATGTTTCATTGAAAAGTTTACTTGTTTTCTGTATGAAGGGATATAAAAGTTTTTCCTGAGTTGTTAGAATTAATTCCTTAAATTCTGCATAAGTTGCGATATTCTTAAGCAAGATAAGGCTACGGACAATTTCGGTATGTTTTGTGTTAATAATGAATTTGTGCGCGATTTGTATTTTTTCAAAATCGACATCGTTTTCTATGTATAAAACACTGTTTTTCCCACAAAAGTGATCAATTAGGAAGTTTTCAGCTTTTTCAGTGGTCATTACATCATAATGTATGTAAACAATCTGTTTTTGCGACTCGCGACTTACTTTGAGTTGGCCTTTTAAAAAAATAATTTGTCGTTTAAATGTATTGACTGGTTTTTTCCGTGATAAAAATTAAATCACTATTGCCATTGTCAGCGCTATGCTGTGTTTGTTCGCTAAAATATGACTCTTCTATTTTTATCCTGGACAATGCATCGGCTACATGGTTTTCTTTACCTTTTATGTATTTTATATCAAATTCATACTCTGATAGTTTTACTCTCCATCGAGTCAACTTTGAGTTTGGGTCCTTCATTCGATATAACCAAACTAATGGTTGGTGATCGCTTGCATTTAAAGTTTTATGGAATCTTTCTATGTCTGCTACGCCTGTTTTCGAAGTATTAAGTTACAATTCTACTCCTTCACTCTCTAGCCATCGTTTCAAGGCTAAGTTAGAAAAAGCTCCATCTATGTCGGCTTTTAATAACTGAGGTTTACCTAACTGATTGAAAATTCGCATAAGGGCATTTTTGCACTCAACCCAATCTTTTGTAGGTATTTTCTCCAGTGTTGCAAACTTTGAATATACATCAATACAACTAACATAGTGTTTTGCTTCAGACGAATAGATGTCTACCATGAACTTTTCACGACAAAAATTAGATTGGGGTGTGATTTTCAGTGGCATTTTGGTATTACGATGTTCTATTTTACTTAGATTGTAAGTATGACATTCAATAATAATAGTTTGTGTTAGTAATTGACTATTGGAGAAGTGATATGTTTCATTGAAAAGTTTACTTGTTTTCTGTATGAAGGGATATAAAAGTTTTTCCTGAGTTGTTAGAATTAATTCCTTAAATTCTGCATAAGTTGCGATATTCTTAAGCAAGATAAGGCTACGGACAATTTCGGTATGTTTTGTGTTAATAATGAATTTGTGCGCGATTTGTATTTTTTCAAAATCGACATCGTTTTCTATGTATAAAACACTGTTTTTCCCACAAAAGTGATCAATTAGGAAGTTTTCAGCTTTTTCAGTGGTCATTACATCATAATGTATGTAAACAATCTGTTTTTGCGACTCGCGACTTACTTTGAGTTGGCCTTTTAAAAAAATAATTTGTCGTTTAAATGTATTGACTGGTTTTTCCGTGATAAAAATTAAATCACTATTGTCATTGTCAGCGCTATGCTGTGTTTGTTCGCTAAAATATGACTCTTCTATTTTTATCCTGGACAATGCATCGGCTACATGGTTTTCTTTACCTTTTATGTATTTTATATCAAATTCATACTCTGATAGTTTTACTCTCCATCGAGTCAACTTTGAGTTTGGGTCCTTCATTCGATATAACCAAACTAATGGTTGGTGATCGCTTGCAATTTCAAAATGTCGGCCTTATAGATAATAACGAAAAGTTTTAGTTGCCTACACAATAGCAAGGAGTTCTTTTTCAATTGCGCTGTAATTTGTCTCGTGATCGTTTAACGTTCGGCTAATGTAACTGCCCGTCCTGTGACAACACGGGTCCAAGTGCGACATTGCTCGCGTCAGTAGTCAATACAATTTGTTTTTTTAAATCTAAAATTTTCAAAAAAGGGTCTTCTGAAATTAGTTGCTTTAGTTTTTCAAAAGCGAAAATGTATTCTGGATCTTGAGCATTTAGTTTTGAATCTTTTTTAAGTGCTCCAGTCATTGGTTTTGCAATTTCTGCAAAATTTGGGATGAATTTCCTGTAGAATCCAACTAGTCCTAAGAATGATTTTATGGTTTTAGTTTTCGTGGGTATAGGGTAATTTATTATGGCTTCTATTCTTCTGGGTTTGGTTTGATGACGACCTTGGTTACAATATGACCTAAGAACGAAGTTTCTGGACGTAGGAACTCACATTTACCGAGTTAGCTTAAGGCAATTTTTCAAATACTAAACGGAGTGAATTTAAATGTTCTTCAAGAGAAGTAGTGGTCTAAGGATGTCATTCATGCATCTTTGGAATGTTGCCGGGCGTTTTCAAACCGAAAGGCATG